TCATAAAATAAAAGTCGATCATCTTGCATAAGCAAAGACAAATCCCGCCCCGGTGGGATTTCTAGAACCGTGTGAACTTACGTCGGGATTTCAAAATGTCCCGTTTTAAATCTATACTATTCTAGTAAGGGATGAAATCCCACTTTTAGAAATCCCGGATCTTTGATCCGACCGCTCTTGACTCAGTCCGCTAGGATTCTAAGGGGGAAGGGGGGGCCAGCTCGGCGCGGCCAGGGCAGTGGTCAGCCTCTGCCCGCGTGCTCACGCGGAAGGAAGACACGAAACCCATGCCACCTTCAAGCTCTCATGAAACGAGACGAACTTTTGTAACGGCGTAGCGGTATTTCAGACACCGCGCGGCGAGCGTCGATCCCCTGGAAATCTGGCGTGGCAGTAGCGGGTCTAACGCAATGGCGATCATGGCAGATGATGCGCAGGGTTGCGCGCGATGAAATCGATGGGGTGAATGATGATGCGTCGCCGTCGTGAATCCCTCAGCGGTATTTCTGACACCGCGCGGCGAGCGTCAATCCCCTGGAAATCTGGCGCGGCAGTAGCGGGTCTAACGCAATGGCGATCATGGCGGAGGATGCGCAGGGGTGCGCGCGATGAAATCGATGGGGTGAATGATGATGCGTCGCCGTCGTGGATCCCTCAGCGGCGGTACACGAGTTTCGTCATAAAATAAAATCGGTAATTCTGCATAAGCAAAGACAAATCCCGCCCCGGTGGGATTTCTAGAGCCGTGTGAATTTACGTCGGGATTTCAAAATGTCCCGTTTTAAATCTATACGATTATAGTAAGGGATGAAATCCCACTTTGAGAAATCCCGGATCTTTGATCCGACCGCTCGTGACTCAGTCCGCTAGGATTCTAGGGCGGGCAAAGGGGGGGCCAGCTCGCGCGGCCAGGGCAATGTCGTCAGCCTCTTGCCGCTGTTGCTCACACGGAAGGAAGACACGAAACCCATGCCACTTCACGCTCTCATGAAACGAGACGAACTTTTTGAACGGCGTAGCGGTATTCAGACACCGCGCGGGCCGAAGCGTCGATCAACTGGAAATCTGGCGTGGCAGTACGGAAGTAACGCAATGGCGATCATGCGGCGATGGCGCAGGGTTGCGCGCGATGAAATCGATGGGGTGCATGATGATGCGTCGCATTCGTGGAATGGAACCCTCACGGATTTCAGACCACCGCGCGGCGAGCGTCGATCCCCTGAAATCGGCGTGGCAGTAGCGGGTCTAACGCAATGGCGATCATGGCGGATGATGCGCAGGGTTGCGCGCGATGAAATCGATGGGGTGAATGATGATGCGTCGCCATCGTGGATCCCACATCGGCGTTACAAAAGTTTCGTCATAAAATAAAAGTCGATCATCTTGCATAAGCAAAGACAAGTCCCGCCCCGGTGGGATTTCTAGAACCGTGTGAATTTACGTCGGGATCTCAAAATGTCCCGTTTTAAATCTATCCTATTATAGTAAGGGATGAAATCCCACTTTTAGAAATCCCGGATCTTTGATCCGACCGCTCTTGACTCAGTCCGCTAGGATTCTAGGGGGGAAGGGGGGGCCAGCTCGGCGCGGCCAGGGCAGTGGTAAGCCTCTGCCCGCTTGCTCACGCGGAAGGAAGACACGAAACCCATGCCATTTTCAAGCTCTCATGAAAAAGCCCCCCCTCCCCCCCCCTTTTCCCCCCCCTGACGAACCCGGGGTGCTACGCGTAGTTATATATATATAACGCCAGCCCGGGAGCATGCACGACAGTAGTCGCGCAACTCTCCTCAAAATTCATCTAGCTCGTCGTCCTGCGTGAACCTCCGCCTCCTTGCACGGCAGCAGTAGCAGGATCACGGGTCCTCTTCCTCCACCCCCTGGCTGGGTTTACTCTGGTCCTCCTCCTCTTCCTCCTCTTCCTCCTGGTCCTCCTCTTCCTCCCCCTCCTCGTCCTCCTCCGCCTCCTTCACATCATCATCATCATCATCATCACCATCATCATCATCATCATCATCATCATCATCATCACCATCACCATCACCATCACCATCATCATCATCATCACCATCACCATCACCATCATCATCATCATCATCAGCATCCTCATCCTCATCCTCATCCTGATCCTCATCATCATCATCACCATCATCGTCATCCTTATCATCATCATCCTCACCATCACCATCATCGTCTTCATCATCTTAAGCATCATCATCAGCATCATCAGCATCATCACCATCATCAGCATCATCATCCTCATCAGCATCATCGTCTTCATCATCTTAAGCATCATCATCAGCATCAGAGTCAACATCAGTATCAGCATCAGCATCAGCATCAGCATCATCATCATCCTCATCCTCATCATCATCAGCATCGTCATCATCATGCGTTGCCTGAGGCAGCCTCATCAAGGAGCGGTGGTGGGCATCAGACCCACACAGACTGCTCCGCAGAGGCCTGCCATGCGCGAGCTGGTGCACAGGATCTGGCAGAGGAGCACCACTCCTCTGCCAAGCGAACGCTTCTTCCTCGACTCGGATCGACGCATGCCATACACAAACACATCTGAATTGTACGCGGCGTTCTTGCTCCTGGAGGGGCGGGCAGGTGCGAGAGGAGGGATGGGGGATGCTGCATGGGGAAGGGAAGGAGCAGTTGAGTAGAGGAGGAGTGGGAGGAGGCAGAGGAGTGCCCTGGAATCCCACCAGCCATTGAGGCGGGTGGTTTGACGAGTTCGACACTCCAGCCTCCGTCCCCCTCCTGCCCCTACCCCTCCTATTCCTACTCCTCCCTCCAGACTCCACGGCTAAAGGTCTCTTCTCCCCCTATCCCTTGTGGTCAGGAAGAGCCCTGGTCGCAAATCGTTGGAGCGTCCAAGTTGGCCCCAAGAGGGCCCCAGATGTCCAAAGCTGGCCTTGAAGATGGTATTGGCAACAGATCCCGAGATGGTTCTAGACAACCTCTCGCACGCCTCCGGGAGGCTCAAACACCGTCTCAAGACGGCTCCAAGTGGCCACGAGGCCACCCATGGACACCCTGAGAGGCCCAACTCTTTCCAACACACATGGGCAACCTAAGTGGTGTACAGTCTCTCGCTTTCGTTTCCGATGGGCTTCTGAGGCCTCAAGATGGCTCAACGAAGGCCCCAAGAGTGCCCCAACACGCGCCCGAGACGGGCCCAAGATCCTGCAAAAGCGTCCCAAGGGGGTTCCAATAATCGTCGCTGGGCCTTCCGAACGGTGGGTGGCGGGCGTAGGCATGTACATCCCTTCTTGGATGGACGGCCCAAGCAGGTTCGGCCATCAAGACCCCTCAAGAGGGCCCAAGTGAGCCCCAAATGACCCCCAAGAGAACCCCAAAGGGCCCCCCAAGTGGCCCCAGGATGTCTCCAAGAGAATCCACGTTCACCACTGTAGGTTCCATCGCTTCGCTATATGCGTGTCTACGCTTCTGTTGCTCCCATCGTACTAAAGGACTAAAGCCCAAAAATGGTTTCGAACACCCAGACAAGTATCGAAACTGTGTCGAACAAGTATCGACTGCCAGGTCCTGACACGTGAAAATCCTAAAGGTTCGGTACTTTCCTGGTGTTCGAACCTTTTTCTGGTGATCAAGGCTGAAGTCGGTTGGAACATTATAAGCCACTCCTCTGGAGAACTCCCAACTCCCCTGGACATCGTTTCTGGACAGGGCTCGTGCCAAGGCGCGGGGCGTGAAGACTTCACGGCTGTGCGGCAAAGAAACAACTACAAGGAAGAGCAGGGAGGGCGATCAGGGCGAGGAGCAAGAGAAATCAATTCCGCTCTCCTCCGCCTTGGTGAAAGGCTTTTGTAGACCAAGATGTCCGACAAGGCCGCGACGTCCATCCACGATCCACCGCAAATCATCCATCAAGGCACGCAAGGGTGCGCACACGACAATCGTGGTACAGCTCTTCTTTACAGTTCCTCTGGCTGCTCGTCCTGCGTGATCCTCCTCCTCCTCCTCCTCCTCCTCCTCTCCTCCTCCTGCATTGCCCCTGGGAGCCTCTCTGGGCCTGGACAGTCTGCATCGGAGGATGGGGTGTGGGGGGGGCTTGGGCCTCTTGGGGCTGTCTCGTGCCGCGCGAGCCTCGGGAGAGCTCCATCGGAGGCGCATTCAGGTCCACGAGACTGAGTCGACGACAGTTACTGTATTTCGACATGTCTACGAGAGGAGAGGACTGGGAGTCGAACAACTGGCTCCGGCAGATGGGCGCGAGCCTCTCGAGTCAATGAGTTGTGCCTGTCTGGGGCCTCTGGAGCCTTCTCCGGCCCTTCGGGAGATGGACGCAAGACTCTCGAGTCCATGAGCTGTGCCTGACTGGGGCCTCTGCAGCATTCTGCTGCCCGTGGCTCTCCCTCGGGGCTTCGGGAGACCTTCTTCGACACTCTATCGGGGCCTTCGAGGCCCTACGTGGCTCTTCTTGGTCGTCTTGCCCTTTGGCCCTTCTTGCAGCCTACGCTTTCGGGCTCCAACAAGCCCCGCTGAGAGTCACCGCGGCGCCCACCTGAGCCTCTAGATCCTCCCAAGGACACCTCTTAGCGCTATCAGGGGGGGCCCTTGTTGGCTGTTGTGGTTTTCGATGCTGGAGGCACACCAAACGTATCGGCATCCCCCGCTCCTCCAAACATTTCGCCGGAATATGATGTGCTAAGCATCTCCCCGTCCAAACTGAGTAAGCTCGAGGGTCCATTATTGCTGGCCTCCTTCCGAAGCCAAGAGAGGAAGGAGGAAGAGGCATGAGGAGAAGCAAGAGGAGTGGGCGTTAGGGCCAGCATATGCGCACGGCAAGGAACCAACAAATGCGCGACTGATCATTGAAAACCCTTCTGAGCCAGAAGCCTGGACTCAGAGCTGCGAGCTTCGAGGTGAAAACTTCGATCAACCAGAAGTCGTCCACCGCTGCGGCGCTGCGGCGGGCGCTGCTGTCCGGCGTCAGCATCCCCGCGTCAGTAGGCTCGGCCGACGGCGATGTCTTAGGCAGCGCCCCTGAAGGAGCCGGAGTTCTCCGACGAGACCATGCTGTAGCCCCGTGAACGACTTTGGAAGAGGGGCCTGTCCGTGGGACCTGTGATCACTTGCAAAAGCTTTTCGAGCTTTTCTATCTTTTTGGACAGCTTCATGAAGTGTCGGAAAACATCCAAGCTGCGGGCAGGACCCTTGAGGTGGTGGACGCCTTGGGCAAATTCGTTGATGTCGATCCGGCCATCACCGTCCCAATCGAAAAGCTTGAACAAGACTTTAGCCTGCTGGAATGACACATCGATGCCCATGTCTGTGAAAGCCGTCTGGGTACGCCAATCAGTCATGATTGTCGCGAAGTCTGCATAATCGAGACACCCGCGGGAGTCAGAGTCATGTCTATCGAAAATGTCAGAAATCACCTTGATCCATTTCTTTCTCTCTGCGATGTGTTCCAGCGCGTTAGCCTCTTCGTCCTTCGACTTGCGCGCTGCCGCCTCCACGAACGCGGCGGTGACCTCAGTGGTCTCTCAAGGCGGTCAAACTTCCCCCGCCCCCTCTCCTCCGTTCATCGTGGAAAAGTCAAGCGGAAACCCAGCACGGACACAAGCGGCGCGGCCGAAAAACGAAAACTGCAAAGACATCGCACATATTGGCGACTGAGCACGAAGCCCAACAGGGCCTCCGATCTCCAAACTCCCATCGGAAACGCTTTGAACATGTAATAATATGATGCGGCTGGGCAGGGGAGCATGAATACAGCTGGAACCGCAACAAAAACACCTTCGCGAAAACGGCACACGATGACACAACACCCTCGGCGTGCTATGCTACGCGACACTGCAAGATCGGGGGCTCGAGCATCAACCTTTCCAAAAGTGAGAACACGCCCTGGGCGTTATGAGAAACATCTGAGGAGGTTGCGATGTTCAGCACGCAGAACACCGTCACGCCAATGAAGAACGGGAACGTGAGCACCAAAATGATGTTCACCTCCGACAGAGGGTCCGCCACCTCCCCCCAGCTCACCCCTCCGCTGACTGCCTTGAAGAGCGTGTAAATGCTGTAATAAAGCGAACGATCCGCCCCCGCCGCACCTGCAGAATAGTTGAGTGTCAGAATGCTTGCGTACTGGTTGAATCCTACAATTTGAAACTGCTTGCACTGGACCCCCCTTCAGAGAACATATGCGTGTTTCAAATGAAGTGACTCGGGGGCCGCACCCTCTTTTTTTCTACAAGGGTACATCTTCTCGGACAAATTGGGCCCGTGGCCTCCGAACTACGACACCAACGGCTCCCACCTGAAGAATCGCGTTCCTGCGCGGGAGGCCCGTGCAATGTATCAAGAAATCGCGCTCTCGCCTTGGACTTCCGTGAAAGTGATTCGCGCGTCGCTCTTATGGAGCTCTGTAATCGCGCTCTCGCATGCGGCTTCCTTGCAATCCAATCGTGCTAAGCTCTCTTGCTAATCACTCCCGTCCTTCATGTTTCCTTCCCTCTTGCCCCCTTCCCTCCTCCCTCCCTTCCCTAATCCATGCCTCGCTGCTCTCCCTTTTCCATCATGTGTGATCATACTTATTTAGGGGATGCGTCAAATGCACATGACTGTTAAACGAGATAACCATCCCAATAGGGTGCCATCAACAACGAAACGTGCGGGTACCGAGGGCTCGGAAGACGCATGATGGTTGACACGCGGGCATAGGAGAGCGAACACTAGTAACAGGATTGTTGTTGATGGGCTGCCCCCACCTGTCCTTGCTCTTCCTTTGTTTAGTGTCCCTCCTGCTTCTCCTCATCGTCCTTCTATATTAGGGGGTGCACCAACTACACGCTACAAGCAAGGAAGCTATACGCCGCAAGGAGGTACGATCGAGGCCGAAGAGGGCGGATGTCGAGGGCTTCGGATACGTTCAGGTGTAATGACACGCGGGCAACGTAGTGCGAACAGTGTTACATGTATTGTTGGATAGCTTAATGCTGCTGTGTATGTGTCTGTGTATATGTGTGTGTCCTGCTTGGTTGACCCCCTGCCGCCCCTTACCCAGGATAGCATCGACGGGGCTTGCGGGCGATCGGCTGGGGCGCGATTGCAAATCAAGCAGAGCAACCAGCGACGTGCTCTCAGGCAAGCAAGTGCCTCGTCGTGGCTCGCCGCTGCGATGGAAGGCAGCGTTCTGGCTCGTCCTCTGGCAGGGCTCCTGTCGTTTTTCTGAGCCCGCCCCTCTCTTACCCGGGCAAGCTCACGCCCATGAGCCCCCCCCTTTGGCGAGTCTCCTCGACGTCCTGTTCTTACCAGCCTGGAGCATATTCCTATCCCTATGCTGGGCATCGCCTCATCACTATGCCGATCTTAGGGGTTCCCTTCGTTTCTGAGGGCGCATCCCTAAGATTGTCAGCTCCTTTTCGCATGCCAATGTTGAGGGTAGGGATAAGTTCGAGGCCGGTGATGTTCGACTTCTGGACGAAACTTCAGAAAGAGCGTCGTCGGAGTACGCTTCTTTGGTGGACGAGCCACACTTCCCCCACTCGGAACTGGGCCTCCCCTCCCCACCCCGAAAATCCATCCCTTCTCCTGAACCGCCCCCGTGCCCTCCCCCCCCCCCCCCCTGCTCGGGGAATGCTCCCCCGAAGAGAAACCCAGGAACCAAGATTACAAATCCAGGGAATCCAACCTCCCAGGTTCTGTAAAATGATCCTGTCAAGAACTCCAACAAACTGGACGTCTAACATTTTAAACGAAACGGGAAAAAAGCAGACGGGAAAAAGAGAGCACAAACTGGGCGCACTCGCGACATTTCCGACATCCTATCCCTCCCTCCCGTGCCTTCCCACCGAACTGACTTCTGCTATGTCCGCAGATACGTGTCATAGCCGAAGTCCAGCAAAAACATCGTGATGTGCAATCGGAAAGGGGGAGCTGCGTACACAGGGGAAAGAGGAGGAAGCGGGTGAGCAGGAGGATATGAGGAGGACGAAAGAGGAGGATGAGGACCAATAGCAGCAGCAGGGACTGGAGTGGAAGGAGCGGGAGGAGCGGGAGGACCAGTGGAAGGCGAAGGCGAAATGATGGGGGCGACAGCGATGAAAAAGGACCCTGATCCAGGAAAGTGGCCCGCCTTGGGCGACACCGCCATTTAGAACGACAGGAGCACAGCGCCGATCCGACAGTCCACCCACCCTGCAGCGGGGCAGCTTTTTGAAAGACTGGAAAGGATCGGACTGTACAAAAGCATAAGACAATCAACTCGGCCCAGTACTTTGTGTGAGAGAAGTCCAGAGGGGGGCCTGGGATCTTCGGGACAGGATCCGGGGAGAGAGGACATTATGAATTCATACTCTCCACGTGCAAAGGAAAGGAAGGGGCAAGAGAAGGCATGATCCCCCTCCTGTCGTGATTCCCCTCCTCTCCCCGCCGCATCCTTTCTCCTCACTCTTTACTCAACAACCCGAAAATCCCGATATCCAGTCTTTCTGGGAAGGGAGAGGAGAACAGAAAAAGAAGAGGAACGGAGAGGGAGGAGAAAAACAGGGGGAAGGAACATGAGACGACGTCATCCCCCCGCCTCCGACCCTCTGGCGATGCTCCTCGACGTCCTTCTCGGCCTCTGGGCGAGACTTCAAGATTGTCGCGCAAAGCGCTGCAGAACGGTCGCCCGAGACCAGCCGCCTGGGACGGCCCTTCGCGCCCCCAAACGGGCGTTCGTTCACAGGGGGAGGAGGGGCCGGTAACCGAGGGGGGTGAAGAAATGCAAGCCTTTGCAGCACCTCTGGGCCCACGAAGCCAGCCTGGACACAGGTGCGGCCCCCTTCACTTCAGTTCTCGACCCCGCCCCTCGCTGTTTGCCCGCCCCCCCCCCCCTCGACTGACGAGCGCCAGACCCCTAAAGGCCCAAATAACTGCGGTGAGAGCATTGGATAAGGAACCATTGGATAAGAACTCCAGGGTCTAGAAGCCGGCAGAACGCCCACTGAGGTTTGGCCATGGACATCATTGCCGCCCTCATCAGATAAGGAGCCCTTCAGGGTCTCACGCCTCCTGGGCACATTCCTTAACCGACGCCGCCACCAATGTCTCGAGACAAGAGACGCTCGAAGAGGCTTCCAAGGAGGCCAACTTCACTGCCACGTTGACGCTCGTTGTGGTTTCGGCCGGGTCGGCCCAAGGGAAGCTCAGAGAGCCCCAAGAAGCCTCCCAAACTACCAGAGAAGGCGCTAAAAGGACCCGCAGGCGGGAAAGCTCAAAAGGGCTACAAGACGGCCCCAAGGTCCGCCCAGACGTCCTCAAAGAGGTTCTGTCGAAACTTTTCGTCAAAGCTCCGTGGAACCATCGAGCCCCAAACGACCCCGAGCCCCCCTACGGATTCTCAGCAAGCCCCCCTAGAGGCTCTAATAGAGTCTACGATGCACCAAAGAGGCCCAGAGAAAGCCCCCAGAAACCTCCAACGTTGCTTCAAGGGGAGGAGGATGGAAGGGATAAGGTGGAGAAGCAAGGCACACGGAAGCACGAAACTACAAGGAGATACAGAAAACGGGAGGCGTTCGAGACCAGAGCAAGGTCACACAAGGTGCTGAACCAGAAACGGTCTTATACCCACGCTTTTCTTGATGCGCATTACTGTCGCGGAGCTTGGCACAACCAAATAAATAATTGTCCTTCACAAACGTCATTGTCGACGCCATCAACTCCTGGTCGGCCGGCGCTAAGCCAGCTGTCGATGCCCCCCCCATGTCCTGTTCCGCTTGCGTGAGCCACTCGGCGATGAACTCCAGGCACACGACGGCGTAGATAAAAGTGAGGACAATCAAAAGAAGAAACGACCACAACAGAGTCTTGCCACAATTCATAATGCCGTCAACCATCATGCGGAGCTCCATGAAACCATTCATCAACCTGACCACGCGGATAACGGACACTAGCCGCATGACCCTAAAAACACGCACAACGGAGAGACGTACACCCAGGACTTCGGCATTGTTCAGAAGAGTCAACGCAATGATGCCACTATCAAACATATTCCAGCCGAACATCTTGGCACGGTAGTGGAAGAACTGCCCTCCTTCTGCGACCATACGCAGCAGAAGCTCAAGCATGAAGACGCTGAGAAATATCCAATCCAGAGCAATAAAAAAAATCGGGCGATCTGACCCAATGTTCCTCATCGACCAATCAGAATTCCAACCAATGGCGACGGCATTGAAGACAATGGATCCTGCCACTATCGTCTCGAACTGCGATGTCGCCACTAGCTTCTCTGCCCATGCTCTGATCTCCTTGTTTCGATGGTCCAGGGTGAGCCTGTGCTTTTTGATGGTGGCCTGGTGACTCGACATCTGAGCCGTGACTGCTGAGAGCTCGTGGACCTCGGTCTCGCGCAGGGAAGAGCCGCGCTTGTTCATGCTGAAGAAGAAGTACGGGACGTCCAGACTCGACTCGGTACCCTTGCGCCTGCCGCTCCTCTCGCTGTCGTGGGCTTTGGACGACGCTGGCGCGGCCCTCTGCTCGGCCGCGTCCGCATGCGGGGACACCGGCGTGTCCGGCACCGACTCCTCGTCGTCGCCGGCGGGCGAGCCCGCTCCACCGGGTGCTCGGGGCGGCGCCTGGGGCTCCGGCTCCCCGCTGCTGGCTCCGGGGGCGCTGCCGGGCGCGCCCACCTCGAGCGTGCCTCGCAGGCTCACGCAACTGGTGGGCTGGCTTTCCACCGCCACCACCACAAGTAGGAGGGGCTGGGGGTCCTCCTCCGTCTCCTCCTCCTCCTCCTCCTCCTCCTCCTCCTCCTCCTCCTCCTCCTCTCCTCCTCCTCCTCCTCCTCCTCCTCCTCCTCCTCCTGCTCCTCCTCCTCATTCCCCTCCTTCCCCCCTCCAAGTTCTGGTGGTGGTGGAGGAAAACGAGACCATCAAGCAACCACTTCGAGGCGGCCTCGCCTTGAGATCCCGGGGCAGCCGCGGCGCACTGCTCCTCGCTCTGCGGTGCCCCCGCCCCGCCAGGCCTGCACTGGCGCTCCACGACGCCAATGGCACCGAGCAGGGAGCACTGGTTGTGCTCCATCTTCTTCGCCAGGGCCTCTCGGCTACACGCAAGAGTGACCCTGGGTAAGAGTGGCCTTTGGTGCGCGGCTTTTCGGGACCGCGGGGGGCCCAAAACCAAGCGCGCAAGCCGCTGCTACCGCTTATCGTTCGGCCATCTGGGGGCCCGTATGTCGGGGATGGACAGACCTCCCTTTAGTAAAACGTGGTTTAGTGAAAACGACCTGAGGCCCAGACCTGGCGGGCGCAAGCCTGGAAAATAACGGCCACGGCGCCCTCTCGAAAACCGAAAACGGACAATTCAATAATCGACGTGTCACTGTTGGGGGTTCTGTCCACCCCCGAATCTGTGCCCGCACCAAAGGTCCCTCCGGCGAAAGGTCACTCTACACGCCTAGTAGTCGAGCCTCCAGCTGCTCGCGCAGCAGCGCCAGGTGCAGCAGCACCGGGCCGTCGGGAGAGCCCGCCCCTCCCGGGGCAGCAGAATCCGTGCGCGTCCACCGCCCCTGGCCGGGCTCCTCCTGGGCCCGGCCGCGGTGCAGGCGCCGGCCCGGCCTGGTCGACCGATCCTGGGCTCGGGGGGCTCCTGGGCAATCGCGGTGGGTGTGAATAGATGACACCAGAAGCAAAAAACCCAAATCAGTGTGGAGGGTCTTCGCTGAGGAGATCGGCCGGGAACCCGGGAGCCTCGGGCACCCAGAACCCACCGAAATCGGCCCGGAACCAATAACCGGGAACGCGGGAACCTGGAACCGGGAACCCGGGAACCCAGCCTGCTACCAAAATCGGCGGGAAACTTTCGCCAAATCTTTCAACTTCCGCTCGGACCCCTTCAGTGCAAGCACTGATTTGGGAATCTCGTCGCGTGGCCTCCGTCCCCCACTGCCGCTCCGACAGCCGCGCTCGCTGGGGGCACCTGGCCATGCCCAGCCGCCTCACCCCATGGACGGAGCGCGGTGGTGGCACAGTGCGCCTCTCCGAGGCTGACGCGGCGCGCACTCGAGAACGGGCGCGCGCTGGCCAGCCTCGCAGGCGCCGCGGGAGGGGTCTCCTCCGGCATCCTCCACCTGGTTCGGCGGAATCGCGCGGCAGCTCACTGTGGGAGCCGCAGGTGAGCCATCGGATTGGCTGCGGGGGAGGAGGACGTGGACGGCGACGAGGACGGCGGGAACGGGAGGGCAGCACAACGGATCAGGGGGAGCATGGCGAGGCAGGATGAGAAGAGGAAGGGGAGAAATGAGGAAGAGAAAGAGGAAAACAGACTGAGCATCTTAGGCGCAAGGGGACAAAGGGACGGAAATCGAGCACCCAAGTTGAAATCTCGGCCGCTGCGCTTTCCACACTGTCGGGCGCCAAAGTTGGCACATACATAACTTGGCTCTTCTCCACTGCCAGACTGGATAGAAGGGTTTGAAAGAGGCGCTAGGGCAAAAGGGCACGCAACGTGGCAGCCACCAAATGCGTCAGTAGACACATCGGAAGGGAACTGGTTGCCCTTCTAGCTGGCGCTGCAACTGTTGATGCATAGAGAGAAGGCTGCGAGACATGTCACCATCAGAATGAGGGCGTGCTCCATCTGGTTCCGCCTGCTTGGCTGCCGCCCTACAGGTGTACGATTCCAAGACACACAAGACCTGCAAGGCAAGAACCTGCATACACATACATGCTTAAGCAAGAAGCCTGAACACTCCTCCAGGCAATCCCCAACCATGAAAAAAAGGATTGGAACGATTTTCCGCGAAATCGAGGAACATACAATGCATAGTATCCACAGATATTTACATATACACTCATCATACTAGATGTACGCGTTTATCTTTACACAGGGGGAAACAGTTTCAAAATTATGGCACACACAGACGCCAACTGGACACTCGTCCGCCTGTTTTTTGGAAAGTCTCGATGCTCTGGATGAGGCAAGTCCACTTTACTTAATTTTCTAATGAACTCTGGCACCCTGGTAATGGATGACGAAGTGTTTCAATTGCATAGGAGGGTATCGCGCGCGCCAATGGCATGGTTTTCCTGCATGTCCTGGGCGGGACGTGCCCTGTGTGCTGGTGTGCCGTCCTCGATATCTGTCTTCGCGGCGTCGAGCTGTGGATATTGAGCCCAAGGCACGTTGAGACCCCACTTCTGGGCCAAACGCTGGCCTGGCCAGTAGCCGCGTGGATTCATGGCGGAAGCGCCCTCCCCGATACGGAGGCCCGGCGTTGCGCACATCTATATACCATGAGCTGCTGCGCAAGCCTCCCTGCTGCTGCTCCTTCTGCTCTTCCTCCTCATCCTTCTCCTCCTCCTCCTCCTCCTCCGACTGACTCATGATCCTTCTTCCCTCTTGTTCTCTCAATCTGGCTCTTCCCCGCATATCATCCTGCCTCTCTGTTTCCTCCTCCACCTCCTCCGTCCTCCTCCCTCCTCGTCCACGTCCCTGGGCTCTTACGCCTCCTATGCCTCCTCCCCCTCCTCCTCCTCCTCCTCCTCATCCTCCTCCTCCTCCTCCTCTTCCTCTTCCTCCTCGTCCTTTTCCTCATCCTCCTCACTCTGACGTCCTCCCCTCATCTCCCTCATCTTCGGCCAACCTTGATCGATTGGGATCGCAGCGGCATGATGGTATATAAACAACCATGCCAACGAAACTGGACTAGGCGCTGGGACCAACATACGAAACTGCAAGCAAGTGCGGGCAGACAGATGGGCGGAAACAAACAGAGAATGACAAACCGCAGGGGCTAGAGTATCTAAGCGAGTAGCCTGTGAAGAAGGAGGGGGGGACACAACCAGTACTGTAGCCAGAACATGTACGTAGGGCACCGAAAAGGTGGGAGCCTATCTGCTGAAAGTGTTGCGGGCGGCAGCTGTGCGGTCTGGTTGCTGCCTGCAGTCCCCAATGGGAACAAGGGCTGCCCCTCCACAGACGGGCCAGCATGGCCTCGAGCAGCGTCGTAGATCATCCTCACCTCCTCCTCCCCCTCCTCCTCCTCTTCCCCCTCCTCCTTCTCCTCCTCCTCCTCCTCCTCCTTCCCCTCCTCCTCCTTCTCCCCCTACCCTCCCCCTCTTTTGGCCAACCAAAAGCTAGCCATACCGCTGCTCCCCAGACCTCTCCCAGGGCGCGTTCCGACGAGGACTTCGAGGCGAATCCAACGGTGGCCACGGGGGCCTCCCAGGAGGCCGACCAACAAAGGGGGCAACGCCGGCAGGGGCAGCGGCATGGGTGCCTGTTCCTCCCCTGGTTTCTGGCCTTCCCTCCTGGCCCATCCTCGCCTCGCCGCCTCTCCCCCCCCCAGAAAACAAAGCCCGCCCTGCACGCTGCGCCTGCGCAGAGGCCGACCCCGGGCCGGGCTCCGAGTCGGTCTCCTGCTGCCGCTCAGCGGGGGGATGGGGCGCGGCGCTGCGGGCGTAGTCGGGTGTTGCTGGAAGTGCCCCTGGCCCAAGGTACCCCCAGCTTCCCGCGCCACTCTGGAGCCCCTGGGGCCCCGCTGGGCCTCGTGAGGGAGGCGCTGGAGGCTCTCTGGGCCACCCCGAGAATCCTGGGCGCACCTTGGGCCAGGGGCACTTCTAGCAACACCCGATATAGGGTGCAGCTGCGCCGTGGAGCTCGGCCATCGTAAGTCTCGCTCGTCGGTCGTGGCCCGCCGCTCCTCCCCCTCCTGCTCCCCCCCCCTCTCGCCGCGCTCCTCCTGGCCCTCGCCCTCCCTCACGCAAGAGCAAGGGCACGCGTGCCAACGTGTCGTTTGCTCCTTGTGGCCCCCTCCTCGCACTGCGTATGCAGAAAAACCGAGCCTCCAGGGGGCCGATGTTGGTCCATGTCCAGTGCGCCTCGGAATTCTGGGGACACCAAACTCGCTCCAGGGCGGCCCAAAACAATAGAGAGAGAGAGACCCCCTGTGGGATTCGACCCCTTCGGTGAACAGAAGTCGACGATGAGAAAGATGGACAAGGATGAGGATGAGGAGTCCGATGATGGTTATGATGATGCTGCTGC